TCCCTCACTGTATGCTGAATGTTTTTTTGACACCACTTGCCCCCACATTGTTGCACTCTCTTTTTGTCTCTGTGTGTGTTTATGTCACTGTTAGCCTAACATACAGACATTACTTGCACACGCACCTCTTGCTGTCATATATTCGCACTTTTTGGATTCATGTGTTTCATTTACGACTGTTAAACACCTCGTTTGTTAGTTGTGAAATATGCTTACCCTGTACTTGTTCTCTACAATAGTGATGTTTTTGTTGTTTCTGTGCTCACTGAGCACGGATCTCCCCCTTGAAAAATTGCCAGGAAGCTGGCTAAATGGGACCATCCATGCAAACTTAAACTCAACACTGTAATTATATTTTGGGATTTTATTGTGACCTTGTATTAAATTTGAATGTGATAATGGAAAGCAAGATATCAATTTGCCTGAAGAGAAACATTTTCAATCATTGCATATTCCCTGCTATGACGTAAGTATCAGGCACATGGCCACAAAACAATTAAAATGGTACTAAAGCTGAAAATTGTGCAAAATAGCATGGAGAAGTGCATCCTGGGAACATGGATTAGGGAAGAAATGCAAATGAGAGACATCATCATGACTATTCTTGGTTCTTCCGGTAAAGTCACGTAGAAGGGAAACAATAAAATAATAAAAATATTAAACAATAAAATTCTCACGACGTTTCGACTGGTGTGAAAACCACAGCAAGAAATTTTTCAAATTTTCTTGCTGTGGTTTTCACACCAAAATTTTTCAAATGTTCTTGCTGTGGTTTTCACACCTGATGATGATTGCTTGTGTTGCAGTCGAAACGTCGTGAGAATTTTATTATTATATATATTTTATTATTTTATTGTTTCCCTTCAACGTGACTTAACCAAAAGAGCGAAGAATATGAATTACTGCAGTCACGAAAGCTTTAAATCAAAAGAATATTAATCCCTGCAGTCACGAAAGCTTTAAATCAAAATCATCCTGACAGTTAAGGAAAGTGGGTTTAGGCAGGACACATTGCTCCAAGGGTCGACAGCCAATGGTCGACACTGATATTGAAATTGCTGCCAAAGGTGGGGATTTTGCCACGAGGTTAACCGCTGTGACGATGGACTGATGAGATCAGCTCAAGGGGCGACACGGTGCCGAGATGTTAACTACCTTAGCTGGTGTACAGGAGGTCGTGGGTTCGATTCCAACCTTGACACCTGCTGTATATTTTGGGGTTTGCATGTCTCTCCCCGTGGTCTCGTAGATTTTTCTTCTTTTTCCCTCCACATTTAGAAACATGCGTTTGTCCTTATTTGGCTGCTATAAAATTCCACGTGATAAGCCACTTCATTGAGCGATCATTTGTGGCTAGGTGGCTTCTAAAAAAAAGAGCTATATAACCCAGTTGGGCTCACCTGGTAAAATAAAAATTAAATAATAGTCAACTAGTTTCAAGTACAGGCGTAGTATAGGTTGTAGCACGACAAAACTGTGAGGATGCCATCGGCATTGTGGGGAGATAATTTATCGAGCACTGGCTAATGATGATAAAATATTCTTTCCATTTATTGCTGGTAAACACCTCAATAATGTAATTACATCTCATTCACGTCTTTATGGAGAGAGTGGATAACAAAAAAACAGAGTGAATAAGACGAATAAGGACAACTTAAAATGTTAATAAATCAGTGATGGAAGCATGATAAATGAAAAATCTAATTTAATATTGGTGTTTTCAACTCGTGCCCTAGGGTAGGAGCAGCATTTCTGATGCTTTCAAAGAATGTTTGTGGAGCTGTCTTTGTGGGGGTGTGGGAGCAAAAGGATTTACCGTCATTCATCCAATCTCACCCCCAACCTGATCACTCATATCCCTGGGCAGCGCTGCGATTAAGCTGCCCTCTTCAGTATTCATGAAGCCTCTCACATAATACACATACATACCCTCTCTAGTATGACTCACAGGCAGCAGTCATGAGCATATAATTGAACACTTCAAAACTGGACTAAAATATTAAGTGTGTCCACAATAATATGCCTAGATATTTTTTTGTTTCGACATTGATATATTTTTTATGTCTTCCAACGTTCCACTTGTGCATGTGATGCGTGGATTTATAAGCGATGTATAACGCAATCATTTGTTTCACCATAGTGGCACGGTGGTGAGCACACCACACTATGAACCTGGTAACCCGAGTTTGATACCTGGCCGGCTGCAGTGAGAATGAGTGACACGTAATGTCCTAATCGGTCCTTGCTAGGCATCCCTCCTCACCAACCCGTACTGACCAGTGTGGTGAGGTATGGTCAAATAACCCCACTGATAACCGACAGTGTAATCAGTAGTGGATTGACAAAGGGCTGTAATTGAAAAAAAGTATATTTCGCCGATAGCGAGGGATGGTCTAGGATTTATATTATCCAAAGCTCAAATGCTTAATTATGTTTCACGTAAAAAATAAATGTATCAGATTTAAATAATTCTGAGGTACGTTTGCCACTTCATACCATCCATCGAAATGTCAACATCAAAACGCGTATATTTTAAAACTGACAATTCTCTCAATGTATACGTTTCTTTTTGAGGTCACCAGAACATTGCTGGGCACTCTTTTGGGTCTCGACTTGATTTTATCCCTCCATCATCGTGCTTACATATCCCGCTACACTCGCTCGCTCGATCGCTCGCGTGCCACACCGCTCGCCCAACCGTGCACTCGACACTGCTGGGGAAGCGGAGAGGGCCCAGGGGGTGGATGGGGGAGGCTGCCTGCTGCCGTTGCTGCTGCGCCTATGGCAGCCAATGGATGAGGCTGGGATCGGCCACTGAACTGCACGGAAAGTTTGTCATCTGGCCTGGCTTGCAAAGAGTGCTGGAGTGATGGGGTGCTTTGCTTGCCAACAACTCCGAAAATACCGCGGCGCACCTGGGACTTGTGAGGCACTGTGCTAATGCTTCACGTGCACTGTAACGGACTGCTATGATATACTATATGTGATATAACACATATGATATGCTTTTTATACACACACGACCGCTTTGAAATTATATTGAACATTGTCAACAGATTAATGGGGGACTCCTTTGAGTCCTAAAATCACGATAACCCAAAAAAAAAAGTTAAATGTTCTATTAATGAATTCGCGAGAGTTAGAGCTGGGTCATCGTTGAAGCAGGTGAGGAGAAATTCTATAGGGCCGCGCTGCATCACGGGCGACATTCCTCAGCTGAGCCAGCGACAAGTGACTTGTTGTACTTGTTGGGCTTCGTCATGTCTACGTGCAGCCCTCGATCGATCAGCTGTTGGATGAAGGCCCCCCCCCCCCCCCTACGCCTTTCGATCGGTCGTGGGGGTTGTTTGAGAAGTGTTTGTTATTTGTTGAAAAGTATTTTTGTGAGGCTTTGGGGCTCCGGCAAGTGTGGTTAGGGCTCAGCGGGTGCAGCCCAATGTTGTGTCCAGCTATGGCATTGTGAGAGGTGGGTGGCATGGGGAGCTGTAATTTTTTACAAAGCTGTGGACGAAGCCTCCAGATGTAAAGTGGCAATGCGTTTCTATGCATGTGCATGGGCATTGTTATGTAAGCTGTCAACAGCAGATAGGAGAGAGGAGGGCTGAAATGAAACACTCAAACTATAGTAACAAAAAAATGCTCATTATGTACTTGGATAATTGGACCACATTTTAAGTATTTTTTTTCCACAAAACTGTATGCAATGCGTGATCAGTTTACCTTACGATACAGTATGCGGAATCCACGTGATATATTTTACTATTCTGCTGGCACTCCAGAAGTCAGTCAGCTTTGAAGAAAAAATTAAGGACAAAGCGGCTCAAGCACCCTTTTTGGCTGCGGGCCATCATCAAGCTCCTACCGTATCTGCGTAGATTTAATGGCACTATTTGCCAAAAAGTGGAAGAGGTGGACCGCAAAGAAGGAGGATAGCGGGGTGATTGAGGCGAGGCATAGGTAATACATGATAACGTGTTGGGGACACGTTCACTGTTGTACAGCAGCGATCCACGCGTGCCCTTCACGAGTCTATTTACACGCCTTTGCCTTAGCTCTGGAAATAGTGCAGATGTCACGTAAGTAAAACATATTTTTGGATTTGCCAGTAAAACTGGGGATTTTGTCGCATTTTTTAAGCAAAGACAAAAACCTACAATATAACAAGAGCCAATTACATAAATACTGATTGTTAAAAACACACAACGTAACCATTTAAAGTTTATAATTTCTCTTTTTTTTGCTGTAAAACATTGTTTTAGTAGCCTATGAGTGTCACAATTAGACAATTGTACCAGCATAATTCCAGCATAATGAACTGGATTGGTGTGACATGTCAACATTTTCACGCAAATTGTATTACGATGTATTTGTACTGGCAGTAGCGTGATTTCTCTGATTAACACATTGTAATTGAGCAGAGATGCCATTCTCATTCAATAAATCTGAAACTTTAAATACCAGAATCTTGAAAAACACAAATCTCAAAATGTGATATGTTATCTATCCAAAGTCGTTCCCTCAGACTCCGTGAACTTTAAGTGAACATTACATTTTACATTGTCCCTCGATGTCATTTAAATAAAAAAAAGAGAAAATATTAACCTTCATTATTGACAACTTGTGTCTCAACATTTATATTTAAAGGGTATCTCTGTCAGTGAATGTGAGTTATACAATACAGCATAAAAACACAACTGTTTCACGTGGCAATAACCTACATTTAAGTATCCAATACGTGAATATTTTAAATAAAATAAAAACATTTTGATTTTGAAAAAAAAAAACAGTAGACATTTTTCATTCGATAAATAAATTCATTTATGCGATCCAAAGCGTCGTTTTTCCTCTTCTTTCACACATTAAAGCATCTTGATCGTTCCTGTATTTTGCAATGCGCTAGTGTCCATCTAGCGTCCGAACACTGACCGTAAATATAAATACCACAGGCTGAAATACATGATGACGAACAGGAGGGAACAGCCACAGAACAACAGCACAACCTGTAAGTCACGGTACGTTGTTTTCGGTGTGATTTTCTCCGAACGGGATGGCGATTTCAAGACGTCCAGGCACGTGCCTTCCTCCGGACATCTCGCGTTGCTGTTAGCAGCTGGCGGCATGCTTGTTACTACGTATATCAAGCTAGACGGATTGGCACATTACGCAAGCGCATCAAAATCGCGATCCAGGCAGGCTCGGAGGTCACGGATGATGCCGCAGTATGTTTTAATGCAATGCAAATGGCATGAAATGGTCAGAGGGTCCACACGTCTGAAAACACACAAAAACATGTTAATGCTTAAAACCATGGCATTTACGGTTGGAACATAAATGTCATGATTTTGCAAAGCCCACAATTTGTCATATTAGTATGAGCAACACTTAATAGGTGACGTTTATGCCGATGGTCCATCTTCACAGCACATGTACTCTAAAGAAGGATCATTGAGCGTTATATATTTGTCCTGTTAAGGCCACAGCGTTATTGAGGAATGCGTTGAGGGTTTTTCTCACTCGTACTTGTGTGGACAACTCCCAAGGCGGTATCGTCAAATAATTTACACGCTATTTGCATGATTGACGAAAAGTATTTGTACGCACGTAATGTGTTTAAAAAGGAATCTATTCCGTGTACAATTTTTTTTTTGGTGGAGACAGATGTTACGAAAATATTACTTACTTGGTCTCCGCTACGAAATGGAAAGACAAAGAAAACACATCTTGGTTAAACATACGTTTGACATTTCAATAGAACTCCTTAACCAAAGTCAAAGACATCACAAATTTTTTACGAATTTAAAACATTACTGACCTCTACGGTGCACAAATACCATGGGCCAGGCGTGCACAAACATGCAGTGGTGAATGTAAAGTTAAAGTATATACATAAAACAATCTTCACTGGAAAAAGGTAGTAAAATGTAGTTTGGGTATCACAGTAACGAAATAAAGGTTATAATATACATACAATCATATAATACTAGCAGCCAGCCACGATTACACCTGGTTGTCTATCACACCTGGTTGTCTATCACACCTGGTTGTCTGTCACACCTGGTTGTCTATCACACCTGGTTGTCTGTCACACCTCGTCTATCACACCTGGCTGTCTATCACACCTGGTTGTCTGTCACACCTGGTTGTCTATCACACCTGGTTGTCTATCACACCTGGTTGTCTGTCACACCTGGTTGTCTATCACACCTGGTTGTCTATCACACCTGGTGGTCTATCACACCTGGTTGTCTATCACACCTGGTTGTCTGTCACACCTGGTTGTCTATCACACCTCGTCTATCACACCTGGTTGTCTATCACACCTGGTTGTCTGTCACACCTGGTTGTCTATCACACCTGGTTGTCTATCACACCTGGTTGTCTGTCACACCTGGTTGTCTATCACACCTGGTTGTCTGTCACACCTCGTCTGTCACACCTGGTTGTCTATCACACCTGGTTGTCTGTCACACCTGGTTGTCTATCACACCTGGTTGTCTATCACACCTGGTTGTCTATCACACCTGGTTGTCTGTCACACCTGGTTGTCTGTCACACCTGGTTGTCTGTTACACCTGGTTGTCTGTCACACCTCGTCTCTCACACCTGGTTGTCTATTGCATCATATCAATGGAGTTTCTTCGTCATCTGCACAACCCATAATTGTGTCACTTAAGTTGGTAAATTTCAGCAATGAGCACTAAACATGTTCGGTTTGCCAGGAACCAAATTTTCAAGGCAAATAATAAAAGTCAGTATGTTTTGTCAATTTATAAATACAGTACGCAACTGATGTTATATCTTCGAGAGGACGCTCCCTGACACGAGGTGACGTTGCACCGTTCGCCGAAAGAGTTCCATACGAGAAATATGTTCATGGGGTGACCCCAATAGCACAACTCAAAAATAATTGGGGGAATAAAATAAAAAAATATTGATAGATACAAAAAATACATTTCTTCAATTGAAGCATTTAAATACATTAGTGGAGTGTAGTTAAATGAAATGTGCTCAAATTTTTGTTAATACGTATACTGTATATAAAGTGCTACTAAATGTTAAACTCATTTGTATGCATCAGTTTGTGAAAGCTTGGCCAATGTTGGCTATCTCAGTCGATGTCCTCGCCTCCACCTCCACCATGCCGAGTGGGTCGGTAGCACGTGGTTGTATTCTCACACCTACTTGCAATGCAAACGCATTCTGTGCAAGATGATTGCAGCAGGATGCACAGCTGTCAGTGGCAATGTAAATCTCGCGTGCGATACGGGTCAAATTATGGCTTTGCAGATTGGCTTTGTAGCGAGGTTGTCTTTACACGTAGATTTGGTGGAAATCGTTGACAGGTGTCAAATACATTGATGGCTAGGGCAGTGGCTTTGCATGAAAGTGTAATGACATATAAACAAATTATTTAGTGATGGTGCAGTTTTGCAGTGGTGCACAATCACGATTTACAAATACTCAACACACTCGTCAACAACACTGCCTTAAAAGGTGGAAAATAATATATATCAGCGCCATTGTGGGCAATGGCCCTTTTTTCTTGTCACTATAATCATGTAATTATATATTGATTTTCTTAAGGCAGTGTTTTTTATGAGTGCGTTGAGGTTTTTGGTAATTATATATGTAATGTATATCAATTTCCCTCAAGCTATCCATTACATCATACATTGGCTTATTCATACCTCCTGTAGCTTCATCCTCATGCTTACATTTTATGAAATCCCATAGCAAGAATCAGTGTTAGTCAATACACTTAAGCCATTGTGCACCAAAAAATCCCATAAATGTACAAGTAGTTTAACAATAATTTGCTTCACCTCACCATCTCTCGCGGTATTTCTCTCCGGGAATGACAGGTCCTCACGCAAGTGGATTGCTCTTTGTATTACAATAAGGCTTACAGTCAGCTATCGGCCTGTTCTGCCTGCTTGCCTGCCTGCCTCTGGGTCTTCAGGCAAGTCCCTTTTAAACGAGGCAGGTGAAAGTGGCAATTTTCATTCAGCCAGCAATCTGCACGTGTTTGTGGGTGGGGGAATTATTCCAGAGGGGCAGCCGTGCCACAGACAGTAAAATTACATTACGATCGTGTCTTTATTAGGAGCCATTTCATTTTAAAGGGCTACATTTTTATTTATTTAAATTGTACTTAGGGCGAAAAAGAAGTGTCTGAAAACGGCATTTAAACATTATAATATATTTAGCCCCGTGATTATTGTAAAAAAAAAGTCTCGAATCGTTGCAACTAAGAATTGTGACCAATATGAATGTACTCTGTTAGCCATCAGTGATATTCACAAACAAACCTGGGTTTGTTTCAACATTCCATCTGCATCACCCATCTCCACAAATTGGAGGACAGATGAACATTTTCTTGTCAGTGCAGGTTGGGTATAATTTGCATAGTGAATGGCCCATGAACCTGGTACTTACGTGCTACAATGAGGGAAATAAGTATTTGACCCCTCTGCAAAACATGACTTGGTACTTGATGGCAAAACCCTTGTTGGCAATTACAGAGGTCAGACGTTTCTTGTAGATGGCCACCAGGTTTGCACACATATCAGGAGGGATTTTGTCCCACTCCTCTTTGCAGTTCCTCTCCAAGTCATTAAGGTTTCGAGGCTGACGTTTGGCAACTCGAACCTTCAGCTCCCTCCACAGATTTTCTATGGGATTAAGGTCTGGAGACTGGCTAGGCCACTCCAGGACCTTAATGTGCTTCTTCTTGAGCCACTCCTTTGTTGCTTTGGCCGTGTGTTTTGGGTCATTGTCATGCTGGAATACCCATACACGACCCATTTTCAATGCCCTGGCTGAGGGAAGGAGGTTCTCACCCAAGATTTGACGGTACATGGCACCGTCCATCGTCCCTTTGATGTGGTGAAGTTGTCCTGTCCCCTTAGCAGAAAAACAGCCCCAAAGTATAATGTTTCCACCTCCATATTTGACGGTGGGGATGGTATTCTTGGGGTCATAGGCAGCATTCCTCCTCCTCCAAACACGTCGAGTTGAGTTGATGCCAAAGAGCTCCATTTTGGTCTCATCTGACCACAACACTTTCACCCAGTTGTCCTCTGAATCATTCAGATGTTCATTGGCAAACTTCAGACGGGCATGTATATGTGCTTTCTTGAGCAGGGGGACCTTGCGGGCGCTGCAGGATTTCAGTCCTTCACGGCATAGTGTGTTACCAATTGTTTTCTTGGTGACTATGGTCCCAGCTGCCTTGAGATCATTGACAATATCCTCCCATGTAGTTCTGGGCTGATTCCTCACCGTTCTCATGATCATTGCAACTCCACGAAGTGAGATCTTGCATGGAGCCCCAGGCCAAGGGAGATTCACAGTTATTTTGTGTTTCTTCCATTTGCGGATAATCGCACCAACTGTTGTCACCTTCTCACCAAGGTGCTTGGCAATGGTCTTGTTGCCCATTCCAGCCTTGTGTAGGTCTACAATCTTGTCCCTGACATCCTTGGCGAGCTCTTTGGTCTTGGCCACGGTGGAGAGTTTGGTATCTGATTGATTGATTGCTTCTGTGGACAGGTGTCTTATACAGGTAACAAGCTGAGATTAGGAGCACTCCCTTTAAGAGTGTGCTCCTAATCTCAGCTCGTTACCTGTATAAAAGACAGCTGGGAGCCAGAAATCTTTTTGATTGAGAGGGGGTCAAATACTTTTTTCCCTCATTAAAATGCAAATCAATTTATAACATTTTTGACGTGCGTTTTTCTCGAGTTTTGTTGTTATTCTGTCTCTCACTGTTCAAATAAACCTACCATTAAAATTATAGACTGATCATTTCTTTGTCAGTGGGAAAACGTACAAAATCAGCAGGGGATCAAATACTTTTTTTCCCTCACTGTATATATATGTTTTTCCTCAGACTCAGCATAAACAATTATCTATCCACTGTTGAATAATGCCAAGAGACTGTAATAGAGTACTGTGTTGTGCCATACACAGGAGGTTTTCCACTAGGGGGCTACAGACAACTGTTTTACGAGAATAGCTCCGTGCCCTCACAGTCGCGCTCGAGTGAGCTGTCATAGCAGTGGACAAGAACAGGAGCCTGGTGAAGATTAATCACTCGTTGTAGAACGAGGGTCGCCACTTTTGGACTGTAGACCAAACCCGGACTAAATGTGTCACTCAGCCTAGGTCTATAAAAAACTGCGTGAGTAGCCTGGGGTAAAATTCAAACGGAATAGCACCCACCAATAGAGTACGGATAAAATCATGCCACCCAAACACAAATGATGATTCCCGGACTGTCTGGGTCAAAATCCGGATAGTTAACCTGGACAGCTTGGCAACCCTCTATACAAAATGACACTTACATTGTGGGGTAACTGAGGATGGCAGCTGAAATATAGCACACAAACTTCTGCAATAAATTTCATGTATTATTACTACGACGCTATTTTTCAGGAGGGGTTCTGCCAAGTTTTTGCAGTAGGGGGCGATGATCGATGATGCTGCTGCTGTGTGAAATCCCAGCCAATACTAGTTGCAGTATATGAGGTTTGTTTAGCTACTTGAGGAAACCGGAGATCCCAGAAGAAACCCACGCGTAACAAGGGGGAGAACATACAAACTGCACGCAAAAAAGCTGCCACACTTTGGAATCAAAGCCAGGTAATTGTTGGTGTGATGCACAGTTGTCACCACGGTGCCACCCAAT